CTGGCAACAGAGCATGAGTGCATCTCAAAAAAAAAAAAAAAAAAAAAAAGGCCAGGTGTGGTAGCTCACACCTGTAAACCCAACACTTTGGGAAGCCAAGGTGTGAAGATCACTTGAGCCCAGTAGTTTGAGACCATCCTAGGCAACATGACAAAACCCTGTTCTGCAAAAAAATTAGTCAGTCATGGTGGGGCATGCCTGTAGTCCCAGCAACTTGCGAGCTGAGGTGGACGGGTTACCTGAGCCCAGGAAGTCAAGGCTGCAGTGAGCCATGATTACAACAGTGCACTCCAGCCTAGGCAACAGAGTGAGACCCTGTCTCAACAACAACAAAATTTCTTCAGTTGTAATCATCAAGAGGATGTTTAAAAGCATTTCTGAAGCTTCCACTTCCCACCTGTTTTTTCTCATGTTTTCCCTTTGTTGACTGAATACATTTGCTTGGATGCTGAATTAGGCAGCTGAATTCTTTGGTATAGTTTCTATCTGTAGCCTGCACTGGCCTCCAGGCAACTTTATACTTTGAGGCAGAGCTCAGCGTATATAGTGGCCTTTCTTGGTGATAGTTTTCTGTGAAAGGCAGCCACGAGCATTTGTTTATAGATTGTTTTTGGTTGCTTTCTCACTACAATAGCAGAGTTGGCTAGACAGGATGACTTAGAAACCTAAAGTATGTACTATCTGGCCCTTTAGGAAAAATCTTTTTGATCTCTGATCTGGAAAAAGGAAGCTATTAGTTTGAGGGAGCCCGAATTGGAACAAAAAAAGGAGATGGAGTGTCAAAGAAATTTATCTAGATTGTTTTTGCCTATGCCTGCTTAGTTGTTTACTGGCTGATTATGGGACAAAAATATTTTGGCTGGTTGGCTCATATTGTGAACTTGGGAAGAAGATATTCTTGTGGACATTAGCAACTCATAGTGCTTAAAACAGGTAATGGAATTGTAAATGACAGTATGATTTTTCTTGTAATTTATAAATCCAGTTTAAAATTATTCATCAGCTAGTAAACTACTGATGAGCTATCATGTTCTCATTTGGTTCCATGGTAGTATTTAACATTTAGGATTTCATTTAAGCTTTAAGGTGAAACTTCCAAGTATTAAAAATATATATTGTTTTTAGGTAACATAAACTTCCTAGGATCATCAGCAGAGGACTGTTGTGAAATTCTAGCTTTCAGACTTTGTACCTGTTTTTTTCCTACAGGGAATATGAAAGGTGAGGTCTATCCATTTGGCATCGTTGGGATGGCCAACAAAGGGGATTGCCTGCAGAAAGGGGAGAGCGTCAAGTTCCAATTGTGTGTCCTGGGCCAAAATGCACAAACTATGGCTTACAACATCACACCCCTGCGTAGGGCCACAGTGGAATGTGTGAAAGATCAGGTAAGTGCCAGTATCTCTGCATCTGAATTTGATCCTTCTATGAGCTGGTAACCAAAACTTTGAAATTTTTTTAGCCAAGGGAAAATCATCAACATTGATTTTTTATTTCTACTTTAGCTTTTTTTGAGTCATTTGAGGTGCTTAATAAAAACAGAAAACTACACAAAGAAAAAGTGACTATATTAGCAATGCGAAAGTAAGAGTGGTGTTAGTAACTAATATTACACAACGGGGAAGGTAAGTTTTGGGGTGAGCTTTCCAGAATAGAAGGACTATATGGGTTTATACACTTTTGCTTTGAGCTGCTTTTGCATAAACAAATTGTGTTCACAGGTACTGAAAAAACAAGCTTAGTCTTATTACTGAGATCTCAGGGAAATTTGAGTTCTCAGAATGTTTTTCGTCAGTACAGAGAATACAACATTTTGTATGGCTGCTTCATAGAATACTATAACCCAGCTTTATTCTAGAAGGGATCAAAACAATGTGTATGTTGAAGTAACAGCTTCCTGGTGAGTTTGCTTAATTCAAAAAGCTTAGTTCATAATCTGTGAAGGAACTTTTATTTGTTTGGGTCAAGTTTATGATACAGTGAATGGCATTGATTTCAAAGATACATTTCTTCCCTGACAAGTTTTACCACAGGCAGCTGGATTGCAGTGTCATCAGCAGCATACCATGTTCTATACATCCTCAAGATAATAGGGACAGGCATTGTGCCTCATGGAGAGTGAGGTGTGGCATATCTTCTCTTTTTTTAGCTACTTCCTTTTTTTTATTTTTTTCCCAGTTTGGCTTCATTAACTATGAAGTAGGAGATAGCAAGAAGCTCTTTTTCCATGTGAAAGAAGTTCAGGATGGCATTGAGCTACAGGCAGGAGATGAGGTGGAGTTCTCAGTGATTCTTAATCAGCGCACTGGCAAGTGCAGCGCCTGTAATGTTTGGCGAGTCTGGTGAGTTTTGTTACTGTGGTTTGATTAGTAACTACCCTGTAGTATCTCAACTTCTGTAGTCTGTTACATTACTTGTCTGTGCCTTGTTTTTTCTCCTCTTCTGCCACTTTTTATTTCTTGATGCTTCCTACTTCTAATCTAAGATAAAAAGATTTTGTAGTACGTTTTAAAATTTTTTTTCCAAATTCTTTTTCTTCCATTAAGTCATTTCTGGTTATATGGTGCTTAAAATTCTAATAGTTTAACCATCCTGACTCATAATGCTGCTTTGCTTCATCACCCCCCCCCACCCCTATCCCCGCCCCCTCCAGAGACAGTCTCACTCTGTTAACCAGGCTGGAATGCAGTGGCACCATCACAACTCATTGCAACCTCAACCCCCTAGGCCTAAGCAATTCTCCCATGTCAGCTTCCCGAGTAGCTGGGACTAACAAGCATGCGCCACCACACCCAGCCAATTTTATTTTTTGTAGAGACATGGTCCCACTATTTTGCCCAGGCTGGTGTCAAACTTCTGGGCTCCGGTGTTCCTCCTGCCCTGCCCTCTCAAAAGTGCTGGGATTGCAGGTGTTAGCTACCACATCTGCTACCTTGTTTTTTTATGCATCTGTGGAACTGGTCAGTCTGATTCCATTCAAGTCTAGGGTCTGCAAATGATTCCTTTCATTCCTATTAAGTTGGAACATTGATTTGGGGGAAATAATATATAAACAAACTTGTCTGTCTTGTCTTTCCAGCTAGGTAGATGAGGTGAGAGTCCTGTCATTAAAAGTGAGTCATTTTGGCAGTTAGATAGAAGACACACTCCTTTGCAAGTGCTTGCTATCTGCCCACAAAGTGTGGTTTCTTGTCATCTTTTGACTTCATTGTAGCGAGGGCCCCAAGGCTGTTGCAGCTCCTCGGCCTGATCGGTTGGTCAATCGCTTGAAGAACATCACCCTGGATGATGCCAGTGCTCCTCGCCTAATGGTTCTTCGTCAGCCAAGGGGACCAGATAATTCAATGGTATGAGCCCATACAAGGCTTGGGGGAGGCCAAATGAAAGACCAACATATAATATGTGGTTCTATTTAAATAATAGATCGGGAAACTTAAGCAAGGAGACTTCCATATTGCTTATAACTAGTTGAGGACTTCCTACACATTGGTTCAGCCCCTAATCTAATGGTTGCTTACAGTAAGAAGCCCATTTTATTTTCTTGATACTTTGAAGATAGTTTAGGTAATGGGTCAGAAGGGCTTACTATGGATTTTCTCAAGGAAGGAATTAGTGGTGCATAAATTGGTTAAAAATAATGCTTTTGTAGTTTCATTTGGGAATAGTGAATGTACCGTGATTGTTGTGCACTCAAATCATTAACTGCAGGATTTTTTTTCCCCCCCACAGGGGTTTGGTGCAGAAAGAAAGATCCGTCAAGCTGGTGTCATTGACTAACCACATCCACAAAGCACATCATTAATCCACTATGATCAAGTTGGGGGGAATCTGGTGAAGGGTTCTGAATATCTCCCTCTTCATCCCTCCCGAAATCTGGAATACTTATTCTATTGAGCTATTACACCAGTTTTAACACCTTCCTCTCGTGTTATGTTTAAAAAATAAATAAATAAATTTAAGAAAACCATTTTAAAATAATGCACAGTTGCAGCCTGGAAAACTTAAGGTGGCGCCTTATAGTATCAATTTTAGGAGCTTTATTTGGTGCATTTAACGCAACTGTTAATTGCAAAATCCACTTCGCCTGTGTAAGTGAAAAATATAGACTGTTATATCTTGTTGGCCCTATGAAATTCTGCACTTGATAATTCATTTTATATTCTACCTTCATTAATGACTTCTGGCAAGATGTTCTGCCTTAGCACTCAGTTGCATTCTTTTCCTTCCTGTTCATTATGCTTTAATTCTGAGGACCATATGAGGGTAGAATATATTATCTTTTAAAAATTACAAAAATTTGTATAGGCAAACCATTTCTTAAAGTTAATGGCCAAATTTTGAAATGTTATTTTTCATATCATTTATAATCTTGTCACAATCCACTTAAAGAAGTTTGGTTATATTTCAGTGAAAATTATCTTCCAGAGTAGTTTTTTTTTTTTCCTGGGATGGGGGGTAACTTTACTACAATAAGTAAGTATGGTGCAGAATTTCATGCAAATGAGGAGTGCCAGCAGTGTGATAATTTAAACATATTTAAACAAAAAACAAAAAAAATGCACAAACTTGCTGCTGCTTAGATCACTGCAGCTTCTAGGACCCAGTTTCTTTTACTGATTTAAAAACAAAACAGAAAAAAAAAAAATAAAAAAGTTGTGCCTGAAATGAATCTTGTTTTTTTTATAAGTAGCCGCCTGGTTACTGTGTCCTGTGAAATACAGACACTTGACCCTTGGTGTAGCTTCTGTTCAACTTTATATCACGGGAATAGATGGGTCTGATTTCTTGGCCCTCTTCTTGAATTGGCCATATACAGGGTCCCTAGCCAGTGGACTGAAGGCTTTGTCTTGAAGACAAGGGTCAGCTCAGGGGATGTGGGGGAGGGCTCTTTTATCTTCCCCCTTGTCGTTTGAGGTTTTGATCTCTGGGTAAAAAGGCCGTTTATCTTTGTAACCACAAAACATTTTTGCTTTCTCCAGTTTTCTGTTAATGGCGAAAGAATGGAAGCGAATAAAGTTTTACTGATTTTTGAGACACTAGCACCTAGCGCTTTCATTATTGAAACGTCCCGTGTGGGAGGGGAGGGTCTGGGTGCGGCCTGCCGCGTGACTCCTGGTTCAGAGGCCCACGTGGCCAGGGCGGGGACTCAGGCGCCTAGGGCGCCGACTGATTACGTAGCGGGCGGGGCCGGAAGTGCCGCTCCCTGGTGGGGGCTGTTCATGGCGGTTCCGGGGTCTCCAACATTTTTCCCAGCTGTGGTCCTAAATCTGTCCAAAGCAGAGGCAGTAGAGCTTGAGGTAAGGTTCTCGCATGCATAGTGTTCGGCTTTGAGTTGCGGAACGTTCAGGCGTTTCAGTGATGCCAGGAATCGAGCAAAATTTACCAGCTGGAGACAAAGGCCTTGGGCGGGGGTCCTTCCATTTGGTGCCTACGTGGGGAGATCTTTGGAGACGGAAGGGAAAATGAAAAGGAGTTACGGCCTGTAGGCTGCCCGCTGGAGCTGAAAAGGCTTACAGGAGTAATAGGAAGGGGGATTTCCATTGCTTAGGCTGAGGGCGGGGCCCAAGGACTGTTGAAAACTAGCCAAGGGTGGGGGTTGCTAGAAGACTGTACTCCAGAAATGTGAGGCCGACGTTCATTAGCCTGGTGTTTTTGTGTTCCCCAATCACTTTAAGAACCAAATGGAAGGTCACGCTCAGGTTTTCGTTTCCATTGATTATAGAAAGCTTTAAAGTACTGTAACTGTGGCTCGTCAATTAACCCTGATTGCTGGTTTCCAACAGGTTCTTGCTGGTGTGAAATGACTGAGTACAAACTGGTGGTGGTTGGAGCAGGTGGTGTTGGGAAAAGCGCACTGACAATCCAGCTAATCCAGAACCACTTTGTAGATGAATATGATCCCACCATAGAGGTGAGGCCCAGTGGTAGCCCGCTGACCTGACCCTGTCTCTCACTTATTGGATCATCTTTACCCATATTCTTTATTAAAAGAATAAAAGGAGAGAAAGTAAAAAGTTGTTTTGGGTACTGCATTCAGATATACAATAAGCTTTCCGTGTTTATAGAGAACACTTCATTTTTATTAGCTGCTGAAGTTTCTAAAACGTTTCCAGTTTTTAAGAGTTATGTAAACTATTGCAAATTCAGTGTTGAGTTCATTCATGAGTTTCTTCGTATATGACATCTCTATTACATGAGAAACACAGGCCATAGTAGTGAGACTGTCTGTATAGGAGATAATAGGATGGAGATAAAGGATTCAGAGATCTGAGTGTTCTTCAATTTTTATATATTAGCTAGTTGAAGCAGCTGAGACCAGATGATTGGAGTCACAAGAACTTGAGGTTTCTAGTCTTTATGCCTAGGATTTGGGTCTCTGTTTCCAGTTAATTTACTTGTATGTTATTAAGCAAATGAATCTCTCTCAGCCTCATTTTCATCATGTATTAAATTACTATAAACTTGTCTTGACTATCCACACGGATGTTATGGAAAATTAAATAATACATTTAAGTTATTTATGAATGGTAAAGGACTGTGTAATAATACTTAGGTATTCTGTTGTTACTGTGAGAGTTCATGGTACAAATTGTCTTCAGTAAGAGGCATCTAAGGCTGTTTAAATAAAGGGTTTTTGTCTTGTTCAGTTTAGAAATGTCTAACTTTAGAGATTATTTTAATTAACACTGGGCCTTCCTACCATCTGGCTGCTAGTGTTTAATTGATGCAAAGTAACTCTAATATAGCCACTATAAAAAAAATTGGTTGCTAATCCTTGGCAAAATCTTTATTTCAAGCTTAACAGCTTTAATACTTTATATTAAATATTTAACATTTTAATAACTTTTTAAAATATTTTGTTTTATTTTTTGAGCAATTTACATAAGTAAAATACATAAATCTTAGGTCTACAGCCCAGTGCTTTTTGCATTTTTATATACTCATGTAGCCACCACCCAGATAACAGGATAGAGCACTTCTAATACTCCAGAATTCTCCAAGTGTGATGACATTATTAAAATACAAATAAAAGGCCTGTTGCCTTCAAACCAAAATGAAAATTTTTTGTATGATCTATTCATGTCTGTCTTCCTGAGAAATTAATTATAACTATACTTTGTTTGCAACCTTTAAGAATTTGATCCAGGAATATTTCCCAAAGGTACATCTGCATGAGAAAAAAAAAATATTTGGTGTTATAACCTTCTCTGAAACTAAAGGTATTTGTGTCTTTAGTCATGAACACAAATAATGTATATAGGGCCGGATTCTAATTGGTAGAGGTTTGGTTTAGATTTCTTAAACAGCACAAATAAAACAGTCCAGTTCTTTGCTTAGTGAAATACACTAGGTTCTTAATCTGTAGCCTCCTGGCTGCAGTAGAGGTGTCAACTGAGTTACCTTGTTTTTTTAATCTTGTCCAGGAACAGAGTAACTGTATTTCTTTTCTTCAGGCATATAGAATTTGATGGTTTTGTTGTTGTTGTTGTTTTACCTAGGGTGACATTGGATACTTTTTGTTTGTGATTATATAATAGCAATTTGAGGGACAAACCAGGTAGGCAGAAATGGGCTTGAATAGTTAGAAATGTATTTAACCTTGGCAAATACATTGCATTCCTTGTGGTTTTTAAATAAATATTGAACCTCCTTCTCCTCCCGTCCCCTTACTCTCCACAACCCCAGGATTCTTACAGAAAACAGGTGGTAATAGATGGTGAAACCTGTCTGTTGGACATACTGGATACAGCTGGACAAGAAGAGTACAGTGCCATGAGAGACCAATACATGAGGACAGGCGAAGGCTTCCTCTGTGTATTTGCCATCAATAATAGCAAGTCGTTTGCGGATATTAACCTCTACAGGTACTAGGAGCATTATTTTCTCTGAAAGGACGATCTTTGTGTTCCGAAGCTTTATGGGGAAATGAGGATACCACGCTAGAGAAGATGGAGCTTTCTAGTTATGGCAAGAGTTGGTTTAGGTTGTTTGACATTGAGAATCTAGAGTAATTACTGAAAGTTAATACTGGAATTTATTTTACATAATATACTCTTCCTGTAATGTTTAATAATAAGTGAAGCTTGCTACGGGGAACGGTTCGGAACTATAGTTGTTGTAATTAGAGATCACAAAGGAATTTCAGAGAGGAAAACATCTCCAAGAAACATCTTTCAGTATGTAATGGAAAAGATGGGCCAGGCACAGTGGCTCACACATGGAATGTCAGTACTTTGGGAGGCCCGGGTGGAAGAATCACTTTGAGACCAGGAGTTGGAAACCAGCCTGGGCAACACAGCAGGCAACAGAGCAAGACCCTGTCCTCTACACAAATAAAAATCTAAAAATCTAGTCAGACATGGTGGCAGCTACTCAGGAGGCAGAGGTGGGAGGATCATGTGAACTCAGGAGGTCGAGGCATCATCACTCCACCACACTCCAGCCTAACCAACAGAGCAAGACCCTGTCTCAAAAAAAAAAAAAAAAAAAAAAAAAAAAAGATGATAGGAAAAAACAAAAGGTGAATACATAAAAATGAAACCAAAGCAAAGGAACATAAAGATAGACTTTGTCTATAGAACCATAAAGTTTCAGAGCTAGATTGGACCATAAACATTCTAGTACAATAGTCTCATTTTACTGAATCAGAAATAGCTCAGAAGATGGTTTGTTAGGTTTTAGAGTCAGGATTGTTATTAGTAGCAGAGCCAGGACCAAAAACCCAAAGCTCCGTTTTCTTAGCACAGTGTTCTTAAACAGAAGGATACAATGGTTAAGAATAGCAACTCTACCTGGATTGAAGCCTAGCCCTAATTATTAGCGATGTGACTTTGGGGCTATGTGGCTTTCCTTACCTATAATATGGAGATAATAATGCCTACCTCATAGAGTTGTTGTGAAGGTTAGAGTTTTAATAAATATGCAGATCATTGAAGCCTAGCCCTAATTATTAGCGATGTGACTTTGGGGCTATGTGGCTTTCCTTACCTATAATATGGAGATAATAATGCCTACCTCATAGAGTTGTTGTGAAGGTTAGAGTTTTAATAAATATGCAGATCACTCAGAATCGCACCTGGCACACAGTAAATGCTACTTAAATGTTCTGCCTAAAGGCCTGAGTCCTGGCTTGTTTTCCATCCATGTGAAGATGTCTGCTTTCAAAAGCAGATTGGTCCAGAACTGAATTCAAGTGTTCTTTTCCTAACCCGTTGTACTTCTCATTTTTTTCTGTCTAAAAGTGATGGTAATACTTAGTAAGATTCCCACACTTGGCATGCATCTAATAATGTTTGCTGAATTTCTAGAAGTCATTTTTCTTTTTTCTTACAAGGCATTTATTCATTTTTCTATGTGCCTTACCTTAAACCAAAGAGTATTTAAAACATCTTATTAAAATGCGTATAGTAAAGCAAGATAAAATTAATGAAAAATAGGCTTAAGTGAGACAAAAAATAAGGGCAAAGGAAATAAAACAAATTTAGGAGTGAGTATATTCTGTGACTGCATGAAACTCCGATGACTTTCTAAAGGTGGGCTACAAATTTGGTCACCACTGTGAAATGGGAAGTAGCCAGCCCAAAGACTCAGTGTTTGTATGCTGAAAGCAGTCAGTTGCTCAGAAGAAGCAGAATTATACTGCTACTAGAAGGAAATTTTCCTATGGATCCTCAAAGAGGCTTGTTGAATGTAAAAATCAGTAGTAACCTAACAGTGGCATGGTCCAGGTGCTTAAGGCTGTCTTACCTGTTAATGTAGGCTGCTGCCATCAAGCAGTTTTGCAAATAGCCAATGGACTGCAGTTCAGATACCAGACAAGAGTAGAGTGTAGAATAGTACTGTGCAGTAAGTGGTTATTTACAGTTAATTAAGATGAAGTAAAATTTAAAAATTAGTTTCTTAACCACCAAATGCTCGGTAGCTGCTAGTGGCTGCCATGCTGAACAGTAGAGATACAGACCATTTCCATTATCACAGAAAGTTCTGCCGGATCACGTTGGTCAAGACGATCTAAACCAGTAGTTTCCCCGCTGTGTGTCTTACATGTCATCGAAGGGAGTCCTGTCAGTCAGATGCTTCAGCCTCCCTTTACTAAGAGCAGTTCTTGTGTTTTCTAATTTATAGCTTGGACTTCCAGCTAGTGTTTTATTTTAGTTTTTCTTTTTTTGAATTGGAGTTTTGCTGTTGCCCAGGCTGGAATGCAGTGGCTCACCATAACCTTCACCTCCTGGGTTCAAGAGATTCTCCTGCCTCAGCCTCCTGAGGAGCTGGAAGTACAGGTGTCCACCATCATGCCTGGCTAATTTTTTTTTTTTTTTTTTTTTTTTGTAGAGATGGGGTTTCACCATGATGGCCAGGCTGGTCTCGAACTCCTGACCTCAGGTGGTCCCCCTGCCTCAGCCTCTCAGAGTGCTGGGATTACAGGTGTGAACCACCACACCCAGCTTATTTTAGTTTTTTTGAGACAGTCTTGCTCTGTTGCCCAAGCTGGAGTGGAGTGGATGACACTCTCAGGGCTCAACCTCTCAGGGATCAAGGGATCCTTCCACCTCAGCTTCCTGAATAGCTGGGACCATGGGCACACATGCCACCATACCCAGCTAATTTTTGTATTTTTTGTAGAAGCAAGTTTTCGCCATGTTGCTCAGGTTGGTCTCAGACTCCTAGGTCAAGCCATCCTCCCACCTCAGCCTCCCAAAGTGCTAAGACTATAGGCAGGAGTCACCATGCCCAGCTTCATCTATAATTTGAGGAAAATGTTTGAGCACCACCCATCTTGAAAAGTGATAGACTGTCTTCCATTAAATACTATCACGCCTAGTTATTTAGCAGCAGTGGGCTTTACTTTTTATACTTTAGACCTTAATTTAAGGGGTGATTTCTAGCTGCCAATTAAATCCAGAGCCTAGTGCTTTGGGAGAATCCAGGAGCCTAACTAGGGCATGTATCAGGATAAAATACCCATCTACTCCCAGTAGAAGGTGGACTTGTACTTATGACTTCCTGATGGCTGCTGCATCAAGTCTCAAGCAGTCTCCTTAGTGTACTACGTCTTCTCTTAAGTGGTAGGAAAAAGTGAAAATATTAGAAGTTAATAGGGCTACATAAAATGTGCTAGTTTGCTCTAGCCATTCCTTTCTGAAGTCTTGTCTGCCTGCCTGCCTGCCTTCCTTTCTTTCCTTTTCGTTTCTTCACTTTCTTTTCTTACTTTTTTTCCTGCTGCCGAGGCTGGAGTGCAGTGGAACAATCATGGCTCACTGCAGCCTTGACCTTTCTGGGCCCAGGTGATCCTCCCACGTCAGTCTCCCAATTAGCTGGGACCACAGGCATGTACCACCACACCCAGCTAATTTTTGTACTTTTTGTAGAGACCAGATGTTGCCATGTTGCCCAGGCTAGTCTCCAAATTCTGGGTTCAAGCCATCTGCCCTCCTCAGCCTCCCATAGTGCTGGGATTACAGGAATGAGCCACTTCTCCCAGACTAATCTTGTTTTTCTTATGTTCTGATAACATATTCCTTTTTACAGGGAGCAGATTAAGCGAGTAAAAGACTCGGATGATGTACCTATGGTGCTAGTGGGAAACAAATGTGATTTGCCAACAAGGACAGTTGATACAAAACAAGCCCACGAACTGGCCAAGAGTTACGGGATTCCATTCATTGAAACCTCAGCCAAGACCAGACAGGTATGGCACTGCATTCAGCACCTGTGCAAGGGTTTGCTCCAGGCAGAGAATATCAGTTGATAAACTCTGACAGAGATGTGATCCACATTCATATTCTTTGTTGTTATGCATTTTTTTTTTTTTTTTTAGACGAGTCTCGGGTTCAAGCGATTCTCCTGCCTTAGCCTCCCAAGTAGCTGGGACTACAGGTGCATACCACCATGCCCAGCTACTTTTGGTATTTTTAGTGGAGACGGGGTTTTACCATGTTGCCCGAGCTGGTTTTGAACTCCTGGCCTCAAGCGATCTTCCCACCTGGGGCTCCCAAAGTGCTGGGATTGCAGTTGTGGGATTAATAGCACCTGGCCTGTTAGGCATGTTTTAATAGTGTTCTTTTTCTTATCACTTGTTTAAACCCAAAATGAACTTAGTAATATTCTAGTATGGCATGTTTACCTCCTACATCAACATCCTCAAATATTTCTAGTGAAGATCCTTGACCAAAAATATTGATAAACATTAGTTCTTTCTCTGTCAACACCAGCCGCTGTTTAGGACTAAAGCCTCCTGAATGGAGTCTTTAGATCTGGTAGTTCTGTTCCTTATGTCTCACATTATCCTTTTCCTTTGCCTGAGTGTTTATTTGACAAAATGTGCCATTTTTATATCAGCCTGTTCATGTGATTCAATAAGAATGTGGAATTTAGTGTTCTCTTCCTTAAATCACCGTATTTTATTTTATCAGCTATTCATTTAGTAATTGGAATCTTATGTCCACATGAAGAGGTACGAATGCGAGAGAGCTTACAATTTGGATTGTGTTCATTGAGCAGTCTCTCGTTTTGTTTGTTTGTTTGTTTGTTTTTCATTTTTTCCTTTTATAGGGTGTTGAAGATGCTTTTTATACACTGGTGAGAGAAATACGCCAGTACCGAATGAAAAAACTCCACAGCAGTGATGATGGGACTCAGGGTTGTATGGGATTGCCATGTGTGGTGATGTAACAAGGTGAGCATATGGTTTTTTGGCATAATTCTAAATCTTAGTATTTGGGCAGTTTGGAGGAGTGTTAGTGTTATTGTCTGTATGTTATTTGAGTTTCTGCCTGTGCTCTTCTGCATATTTTCCTTATGGCACTCTCTGAAAGTACTGAGGTCTAAAGTATTTAAAACATTTAATTATTCCACAGGTATCTTTATATTTTTATAACATTAGAAATTATCAGACATTATGAAATGTAGGCTTACCTATTCCTGGCAATGACCAGGTATTTGAAGGATCACTCCTTTGAAACTAGATGATAATGACATGGTTTGTGTTCTTTTCTTACAGATACTTTTAAAGTTCTATCAGAAAAGAGCCACTTTCAAGGTAGTGTGGAAATGTACTCTCATTCCTGTTAATTTTCTGTACTCGTTTTTCTCATACTCTGAATGTGTCACTTACACAAATTTCATTTTTATTTCAGCTGCACTGACACCCTGGTCCTGACTTCCCTGGAGGAGAAGTATTCCTGTTGCGATCTTTAGTCTCACAGAGAAGCTCCTGCTACTTCCCCAACTCTCAGTAGTTTAGTATAATATTCTCTATTTGAGAAGTTCTCAGAATAACTACCTCCTCACTTGGCTGTCTGACCAGAGAAATGCACCTCTCGTTACTCCCTGTTACTTTTCTGCCCTGGGTTATTCCATAACACAAACACACTTCTGCCACCGCAGGCATTTCATCTGAAAAGCAGTTCATGTTTGAAACAGAGAACCAAACTGCAAAAGTGAAATTCTGTTGAAAACAGTGTCTTGAGCTCTAAGGTAGCAACTGCTGGTGATTTTTTTTTTCTTTTTACTGTTGAACTTAGAACTATGCTAATTTTTGGAGAAATGTCATAAATTACTGTTTTGCCAAGAATATAGTTATTATTACTGTTGGGTTTCTTTTGAATGTTACCGGCTGTATTCTCTAAACTGGCATCTGCTCTAGATTAATAAATACAAAAAGGAATACTGAATTTTGAGTCTATCCTAGTCTTCTCAGCTTTCATGTAATTAAATCCAACTTTCACAGTGAAGTGCCTTTTTATAGAAGTGGTTTGTAGACTTCCTTTATAATATTTCAGTGGAATAGATGTCTCAAAAATATGCATGAAAGTGAATGTCTGAGATATGTCTGTGACTTATCTACCATTGAGGGAAAGCTATATCTATATGAGAGCAGATGCCATTTTGTACATGTATAAAGTTCTGGTTTTCCAGAGGCCTGTTTTGGGGCTTTCCCAGGAGAAAGATGAAACTGAACGCATATGAATAATTTCACTTAATTGTTACCTAATCTCCACTTTTTTCATAGGTTACTACCTATAAAATGTATTTGTTTCCTCTAGCTTACTGATAAGCCTAATATTCAATGAACTTCTATTTGTATTCAAATTTGGGTCATACCAGAAAGCTCTACATTTGCAGGTGTTCAAATATTGTAAAACTTTGGTGCATTGTTACTTAATAGCTGTGACCAGTGATTTTCAAACCTCAAATATAGTATATTAACAAATTACATTTTCACTGTATATCACGGTATCTTAATGATGTATATAATTGCCCTGAATCCCCTTCTCACCCTACGTTCTACACCTCTCCCCACAGCAATAGGGGCTTGATTATTGCAGTTGAGTAAAGCATGGTGCTAATGGACCAGGGTCATAGTTTCAAAACTTGAAAAATCCAGTTAGCATCGCAGAGAAAGAAATTCTTCTCCACTTGCTCCCTGCAGCAGTAACTCCAGCTGGTCATTTTGCTGGATGCCTGCAGTTAGCCCTGCAAGGAAAGAAGAGGTCGGTTAGCACAAGCCCTTTACCGTGACTGGAAAACTTGGTATTTAAACCTTTTTTTTCCTTTTAGCCATGTAGAAACTCTAAATTCAACAGATATTCTCATTTGAGAATGAGGGTGTCTCAGCTGAAAAATATTTTAAATTTTCTTTATTCATAATGTTCTTTGAATGGTTTAAAACAAGATATTGATAAGTCTGAGCTGATGAGTTCGTTCAAAACAGGAAGTTGAAATTGTTGAGACAGGAATGGAAGATATAATTGATAGTTATGAGGATTTGGAGGTTTGCCATTTTCATTTGCAGATAATACCCTGGTAATTCTCATGAAAAATAGGATGGGATAACTTTGGATAAAAGACTAATTCCAAAATGGCCACTTTGTTCCTGTCATCTGATAGCTAAATGCTTATTGAGGTCCTCCATCTTCTATATTATGAATTTTCATTTATTAAGCAAATGTCATATTACCTTGAAATTCAAAAAAGAAGAAACATATTCTGTGCCCAGGATGTAACTTACTGGAGAGCTGTGCTCCTTACTGCTAATTCTGGGAACTTTCACAGTACTGTCATTTGTAAACGGGAATTCTGCTTTTCTGTTTCTGCTCCTTCTGGGGCAGTGTTACTCTACTTTTCCTGAGGCTTATCACCTCAGTTTGTTTGTTGTTGTTGTTGTTGTTTTTCTGTGACTGGCAGTTTGATTTTTTTTTCTTAAGAACCTATTAAATTTGATGTCAAATTAGGGAGAAAGATAGTTACTCATCTTGGGCGCTTGTGCCAATAAATAGCCTTCGTCTGTATGTACTTAACAGTTTTCTCAAGTATGTTCTAAGCACAGAAGTTTCTAAATGGGGCCAAAATTCAGACTTGAGTATGTTCCTTGAATAGCTTCTTAAGAAGTTACAATTAGCCAGGCACTAGCTAATTGAGAGGCCGAGGCAGGAGAATCGCTTGAACCCAGGAGGCGGAGGTTGCAGTGAGCAGAGATCGTGCCACTGCACTCCATCACCTGGGTGACAAAGCGAGACTGGTCAAAAAAAAAAAGTCAGACCTAGGTGTGAATTTTGGCACAAAGGAGTGACAAACTTAAAAGCTGAATACCTTCAGTATGGTGTAAAAAGTAGTTTTTAGGCCATGTTTGTGATTGCTGAAAATAATTCTAGTTTACCTCGAAATCCTTCTCTTTCCCCAAATTAAGTGCCTGGCCAGCTGTCATAAATTACTTGTTCCTTTTGTTTTTTTTTTAATATTACATGTTCAAGAGTGTGAAAATAAGATGTTCTGTCTAAAGGCTACGATGCCTGTCTATAAATGAACCTGTTAAATGCTGTATTTGCTCCAACAGCCTACTATAGAATGTTACTTAAATATAATCTCATACTTACTACAGTTTTTACTGTAGGAGTGTAATAGGTAAAATGAATCTCTATTGTAGTGGGCCCTATGTTTAGTCTTTCACCATCCTTTAAACTGCTGTGAATTTTTTTGTCATGACTTGAAAGCAAGGATAGAGAAACATTTTAGAGCTATCTGGGTTTTTTCCCATTCCAGAACTTGTGAGCATATTCATATTTGCTTTATATTTATAGTCATGAACTAAGCTGGCAGCTACAACCAAGAACCAAAAAAATGGTGCATTCTACTTCTTGTAATTCATCTCTGCTAATAAATTATAAGAAGCAAGGAAAATTAGGGAAAATATTTTATTTGGATGGTTTCTATAAACAAGGGACTATAATTCTTGTACATTATTTTTCATCTTTGCTGTTTCTTTGAGCAGTCTAATGTGCCACGCAATTATCTAAGGTATTTGATTTCTATAAGAATTGTTTTATAAGTATTCTTGTTACCAGAGTAGTTGTATTATATTTTAGAATGTAAGAGGATTTTTTTTTTTTGAGACTGAGTCTTGCTCTGTCACCCAGGCTGGAGTGCAGTGGCGCAATCTCAGCTCACTGAAACCTCAGCCTCCCGGGTTCAAGCGATTCTCCTGCCTCAGCCTCCTGAGTAGCTGGGATTACAGGCACATGCCACCACACCCAGCTAATTTTTGTATTTTTAGTAGAGATGGGGTTTCACCGTGTTGGTCAGGCTGATCTCGAACTCCTGACCTTGTGATCCACCCGTCTTGGTCTCCCGAAGTGCTGGGATTACAGGCGTGAGCCACCGTGCCCAGCCAAGATAATTTTTAAAAGCCTGAGTTCTGACCTAATATGCAATTGTATGAATTCTACTCTGGAGGGAATGGAGGGTGTCAGTGGAAGTAGTAAAACTTTTATTTTTGTGTGCCATTAAATATAAGTAAAAATAATTGTGCAATTCTGCTGTTTAAACAGGAACCATTGGCCTCCTTGGCCCTAAATGGAAGGGCTGATATTTTAAGTTGATTATTTTATTGTAAATTAATCCAATCTAATTCTTTTTAATTTGGTTGAATGTTTTCCTTGTTAAATGATGTTTAAAAAATAAAAACTGGAAGTTCTTGGCTTAGTCATAATTCTTATTTTCGCTGAAGTGCCTTTATAGAATGCTAATATTAATTTCAAACTTTTGGATGTGACATTTGGAAGTGTTAGAGTGTCTGAGTTCCTCATTTTATCACATAAAATATATAAAAACCGACTTTCAAGTCTTACCTTGGGGGTGATTTCATAGATATTTGTCAGATATGCATACATTAAGATGCCATTGGAGCTCTTTTGTCTTGGTTTTGCATTACTGAACAATCTAGCAATCTTGCTGTAGTTGGAAGAGCATTGATGCTAGGGCCTAGAGAACTTGAGGCCCAAAATCTTATATATAATTTTACTTCACTTGCAAAATCGGAGAGTTGAATTACGATGTATCAGATTGCCCAACCTTAAGGAGATTTTAAAAAGAATAATATCATATCTAGGCATTTTCAATTAACTGGAATATTATAATTTTGAGGACCTTGGTTTACTCTACCAAAGACTTATCAAAATTTGTTTTCACTTTTTTTTCTTAAAAAGGAGACAGGGAATGTAAGTCATTAACATGTGGCTGAAGTAAGCTTGGGAAAACCAATTTTAAATGACAAAGTATTTTTTCTAGTTAGAACGACTAGAAAGTATAAATATTTTAATTGTAAAATGTATACGAAAAACAGAATTATGAACTTTGTATCTTTAAAACTATCACCTCATATAGAGGCCTAGGTATTAGTTTGAGAGAGAAAGATACAAAGTCCATTTCTTTTTCATATACATTTTACAAAAATTTGTTTTAATATTTGATCCTCTAATTGAAAAGAGGAAAGGATGTTTTCTGATGAGAACTGCTGTTCTGTTCAGCAAAATAAAGCTACAGAAACAACTGATGAGAAGGTACCTAACAAAGCCTGCTTATTTGGAATATGAGGGCACATCCTGTGCATCTCTGCGCTATTAAGGTTTCTGTTCTCATAAGCAGTACTCGAGGTCATTGAGAGGCCAACACAGTTGCATGAGTTATTTGATATCCATAAATACATGAGAAGGGGCCAAGAGGCCTTGCTAGTGATCACTTTGCAAAACTGCCTGAGGCTGTCCAGCTCCATGACTCAAGAGCACAGAGTTTCCAAATGTCCAGTTTCCAAAAGGGAAGGGTGTGCTTTGTAATGCTTTTAAAATTCACTGGGCAGTGAAATGTGGCCCTTCACCTTAATAGAAAGCTGGAACTTCAGGAACATACAAAATAGATAGAAATACTCTTTCCAGTGGCAAAAGGAACATAAGAGGGTTCAGATTCATGAAACTAGACGTGAGTTGACCATTTTTTGCAGTTGTATTCTACCACATTATTTACTTCAGAGTTGCACCAAAATAGTCTATTATAGACTACTGGTGTTTGGAGTGGAAGTGGGGAATGGAGGGGAGGAATGAACTACTATAAATTCAGATTACCATCAACTTGTAGAAGCCATATGAAGTAAAAATGGGTAGCACCTGCAATATTGTGACTTACAGTGCTGTTAAACGTTTCTAAAGATAGAGGCAGCTACGTGCCTGACGGGAGGATGTGGTTGTAGCTAGCAGTTGTCTACTAGCAGTCTCTATTCGCAACAGCCTGAAATACCCAAGTTATGAAGAGCAATCTTTCAGAATGGATGCTACGGACATGGTACAATTGGCGCTATTGATATTTCTGTAGGAGCTTGAAATGTGTGGATTATAATTAAGTCTGAAAGAAAACTTGCACATGATTTTAAAATATTTTCTTGTAACTCAATTCACATTTACAACTGAGACCCAACATTCCTGATAGGAATATTTTTGGGAATCAATGGTATGAAGTGGAAAGACATGTTGAAAGTTGGATCAAGAGATCTTGTAAGTGTGTGCTTGTTTAGGCTGTGAAGTTGAGGAGTTTGACATTTACTATTAAAGTCCAAAAGGAAACTAGCATGGCATATGAAATGAAATTCCCAAGGCCTGTGTCACTCTAAGAGAACTGTATTTGGATCCCCAATAAAGCATAGCCACAAGTTCTAACAAAATGTTTTATTACAGTAGTTTGGTACATTTTCCTTATGACTTTCCTTCCTAATTGATTTACATACCTAGTCCCTGTACTGCTCTGGGCATACGGCAGTGATTCGGACACATACTGGTTCCTTATGAATTTTTTGTATTCTACTGGGTCTCCCCAGAAACCTCTAAAACAAAATTTCTTAATTGCAATTTGGTGATTGCTTCAAAGTTGAAGGACAGTGTTTACCCTGACATAACTTGTTTGACTTCAGTGTTCTGGTTGCTGACCTCTGGACACTGCCCATGGTCACCTTCCCTGATTCTTCTGCAAGTCCTCTTGGCTACCAGGATGCAACATATATTGTCTCACATCTCATTGCCACTTGGGCCTCTCCTTTTCAAATCAAGTCAATGTAGAAACAAACCAGACCGGGCACAGTGGCTCACGCCTGTAATCCCAACAATTTGGGAGGCCAAGGCAGGTGAATCATTTGAGGTCAGGAGTTCGAGACAAGCCTGGCCAACATGGTGAAGCCCCATCTTTACTAAAAATACAAAAAGTTAGCTGGACATGGTGGTGCATGCCTGTAATTCCTGCTACTGGGAGGCTGAGGTAGGAGAATCTCGAGCCTGGGAGGCAGAGGTTGTGGTGAGCTGAAATTGTGTCACTGCACACCAGTGACAGTGAGACCCTGTCTCAAAACAAAAAGCAGAAACTAATATTTATATATTGCTTCATGCTTTTGTATACCTTGTTTAATCCTTCACAACCATATCAAGTAGGAATCATCTCCATTTTACTGATGAGAAAACTGAATCCCCTAAAAATGTATTGATATTATCTAAAGTTCAAACCTGGGTCTCCTGTTTTCCAGAATCCGCTCTTTTTGATTCACTAGCTGTTTTGTTTTGTTTTGTTTTGCTTTGAGACAGGATCTGGCTCTGATGCCCAGGCTGGAGTTCAGTGACTCCATCTCAGCTCACTGCAACCTCCACCTCCCAGGATCCTCAAGCAATCCTCTCATGTGAGCTTCCTCATTAGCTGGGACTACCTGTGCACCACCACACTTGGCTTTTTTTGTACTTTTTATAGAAATGGGTTTTTGCTATGTTGTCCCGGGTGTTCTCCAACTTCTGAGTTGAAGCAATGTGCTTCCCTTGGCCTTCCGAAGTGTTGGGATTACAGGCGTGAGCCACCATGCCTGGCCACTAGTAGTTTTTAAACCGTGCTGCTCAAAGCCTTTGGAGTATAAAGGAGACCGAAGACAGGCTGAATGGCTATGGTTCTCTCCTCCTCCCTTGTCCCCCAACTTCAAGGAAGGAGCAGGAGGTAGGATGAAGAGCAGGTTGAGAAGAAGTGGGAGTTCCCACCAACAAGTTTCACACCAGATTAATTCCACATTCATCATTTTCATTTTCAGGTTTCATTCAAGATTTAGTTTGAGGCTGGACATGGTGGCTCACACTTGGAATCTCAGCACTGTGAGAGGCCAAGGTGGGAGGATCACTTGATGCCAGGAGTTGAAGAACAGCCTGGGCAACATAGCAAGACCCTGTCTCTAAATGTTTTAAAACTTAGCTAGTGCCCCACCTGTTGTAGTCCTAGCTATTCAGGAAGCTGAGGCAGGAGGATCACTTGAGCCCAGCAGTTTGAGGCTGCAGTAAGCTATGAGGGCACCACTACCACTGCATTCCAGCTTGACCCACAGAGTGAGTTCCTGTCTCTGGTGGGAGGAAGAAAATATTTAGTTTAAAAAATATTTCAGCCGGGCGCGGTGGCTCAAGCCTGTAATCCCAGCACTTTGGGAGGCCGAGGCTGGTTGATCACGAGGTCAACAGATCGAAACCATCCTGGTCAACATGGTGAAACCCCGTCTCTACTAAAAATTACAAAAAATTAGCTGGGCATGGTGGCGCTTGCCTGTAATCCCAGCTACTCAGGAGGCTGAGGCAGGAGAATTGCCTGAACCCAGGAGGCGGAGGTTGCGGTGAGCCGAGATCGCGCCATTGCACTCCAGCCTGGGTAACAAGAGCGAAACTCCGTCTCAAAAAATATATATATATATATTTCATAAGTAAAAGCATAAAAACCACTTCACCAATCTACTTCCACAGCCATCTATCAAACTGCAAATCACCAGATCACATCCTCATGTCTAGTCCAGATCCCAGTATTCTTTTTTTTTTTTTTTTTTGAGACGGAGTTTCGCTCTTGTTACCCAGGCTGGAGTGCAATGGCGCGATCTCAGCTCACCGCAACCTCCGCCTCCTGGGTTCAGGCAATTCTCCTGCCTCAGCCTCCTGAGTAGCTGGGATTACAGGCACGCGCCACCATGCCCAGCTAATTTTTTGTATCTTTAGTAGAGACGGGGTTTCACCATGTTGACCAGGATGGTCTCGATCTGTTGACCTCGTGATCCACCCGCCTCGGCCTCCCAAAGTGCTGGGATTACAGGCGTGAGCCACCGCACCCGGCCAGATCCCAGTATTCTTATAGACACAATCATGTTCATTGCACTCTACATAATAGATGGTGTATAAGAGCTTACGAGCCCCACTCTGGAGCCAGAATACCTCGGCTTGAATGCCACTTCTACTTCTTACTAGTTGTATGACCTTGAGCGGGTCAACCTCTCTATACCTGAAGTTTTTCAACTGTAACATGGAAGCAATAATAGTTCTTCAAAAGACCATTGTGAAAATTAAGTAAGTTAATATATAGTAAAAACACAACATCCACAAGAAACAACTTGCAACAGTTTCTATCGCTGTTTTTATTGCAGGGACCCCACGGGGTGCTTCCCTCTCTCCTCTAACAGAACATAGTACACTGCTGAAGTACAAGCCTGTTTTGTTTACAGCAAACTGCTGAATTTCAGTTCCATTCCAGAGACAGGAAATAAAGTCAGTTTGTCTCATGGAAAAGGATGTGTCTTATAAATTTGACTTCTTTATTTTTAGGCATGTATGGAAATTATTACTGACAGGAAAATGAGACTGAATGCAGTGAAGTACCATAAAATTC